CACATATAAATGCAATTGGACATCATATTTTAGGGTGTTGTGGACCAGGGACCTCAGGTTAGGAGCCTCTGTCATCAAGTTTCAACTCTTAGGAAACTTTCATCTTGGGTGTGATTTCCTTGGGACACCTTCTTGCCCTCCCCTGAAGATGATCTACAAACAGGTACCACCATTCTTACCTCTACCATACTTCCATCTTCCCCCACAGTGGCCAGACATTACTCACAGCATCTTCCCTTAAATCCCGGCCTGGATTTTCATCTCAAAAGCACTCCCTGGTGCTTGCAAACCTGTTTGAAAATGCTAGGGTGTGGGCCTCAGTCTCTTCCCTCTGGTGGTGCGGGTGACATTTAGATGTCAGCTATACACACCCCACCCCACCCCAGTATCTACTTCTCTGCATGGACTTTGGATAGAGTCACCTGGAAACGACCAAAGACACACATATGCCAGCCCTCCTCCTGTACAAAAGAATCAAGAAACCCCTCCATGCCATTCAGTGCTCTGAGCTGCTGTGGTGAGCACCTTGACCGCTACTTCTCTCTGAGTGGCAGTGCAGGGGGAGGAGAAGCCAAGCCAGGGCATGGCTGGACCTATGTTTGATCTTGGCTTTGCCCCTTACTTGCCAGACACCTGGACCTGATCCTACCTCTTCATCCCTTACAATGGATGGGCTGAGCACCTTGCTACTTCACAGACATTGTCTTATTTAATCCTCAGGACAAAGCTATGAGACAGGAATTCATTTTAGCCCCATTTGCCAGACAAGGAAAGGGAGGCTTAGAGAGTTTAATAACATGCTCAAATACACAATCTTGCACTACGTACTCAAGCCAGAGCTTCATTGTTTCATGTGTGGCTAATACCTGTGTGTTCAGCCAACTAACCAAAGGCTGCTTTTCGCCTCTTGATATATGTGGGTCATGACAATGCCCGTGCCGGGTCATTGAGTGGCTCAGAATGAGCTTATATGTAGTGCCCGGACTAAGGAGGATCTCATCTCGAGAATGGTGTTGGTATAACGAATGCCCTCACGTCAGCGTGCCCCAGCCCTGACGCACAATCTCTCCCTGGATTTAAAGTGCATGCTCGGCTGCAGGAATTTCACTTTCCCTTTGGCCTCTCCTGCCTGGCGTTCTCAGTGTTTGGCTGGTGGTGACTCTCGCAGATTCAGCCAAGCTTCGAGCCTCTTCAACCTCACTGAAGGCGTCACCGTTCTGCTTGGGTGGCTGTGTTTTCCTAAGTCCTGACCCACAAGGCTTTTTGCACTTTTCAATAGTTCTCTCAGGTCTGTGGTAGCAAGGGGCATGTCCCAGGCAGGGGTCAGCCACTCTGGGTGCCTGTCAGCCCTCACAGGGGCAGTGCCATGGAAGCCCATGAGCTGTCATACAGGGACATGTGCAAGAAAGGAAAACAACCTCCAGACAGAAGGAACATATCCAGTGGGGAGTCAGGGCCACCGTGAGATGCAAGAAGATGCTTCTACACAGCATGAGGCATGTCATCAGCACAGCAGCTGGGGATAGCCTCTGCACTAACTAGTTGCATGACCTCCCCCAAATCACTTTCCCTTTCTTGGTCTCAGTTGCTTCATCTATAAAATGGGGGGAGCAGAGTTAGGTTACTAATTTTCAAACAATAGCCTCCAATCTTCACCCCACTTTTTTGGATTCACAATGTACTATGACTTATTTAAGGCTCTGGAAAGTCCTGCATAGCAAGGGAACTGCTGACCTGACCTAACCTTCCTTGACCATAAAGCCTTTTAAGTTACATCAGTGAACATCCTTTGAACCAGTGTTCTGTGGAACTCGCCTTGGCTAATTTTCAAGCTTCTTCTGGTACCAAAGATCTCCACTTCCACAGCCCCTTTGAGTCTGTGCGAGGGGGTAGGAGGCCTTGGTAGCTGTGGGCCCTCTGGAATTCCTCAGCCATCACAGGAGGGCTCCAATGCCTGCCCTCATGGCCAATTGGGGTAACTTTCTGGTTTCCCAACAGTTCTCTCTCCTTTCTAATTTTCCATGGAGAATCACCCTTTCCTATTTTCATTCTGTGTGGCTTGGGTGGGGCAGACATTATCACCTGGCTCCAGGGGGCATACACATGACCAGGCCTGGCCATTGAGGTAGCACATCCTCCTTGCCACAGTGACTGCTTCGTTGTAGACACGTGACCCCAGCAGGGTCAGCCACAGAAAACCCTGGCACTTTTGCTGGAAAGATCAGGAAAGAAATGGTGCCTCTTTCCTACTCGGGTTGCTAAGCCAAGGGGGGGGGCTCTTTCTCCACTTGGGGGAGATTCTGCCAGAGAGATGCCAGGGAAGGCAGGATTGAATATGGTGACAAAAGATTTCTTGAGATCACTTGAGGGACTGGATACAGCCAGTCCTGAAGCCATGTATGTTCCAATGAATTCTTTTCCTTTTAACTAGTTCGAGTTTGCTTTCTAATTGTACAACTGAGAGAGCCCCACCCCACCAACTTTACAAGGGGCATGATGAGAATACAATGTTAAATAAAAGGCAGGGGCTTTAAAACTTGGCAAAGCAGTGTATGGGAGTGCTTGGGAGGTGGAATGGAATGACCACCCCATGGCATCGTGTGGGTGCAAACCTAGGTGCCAGGGGAGAAGGGACGGATCACCTAGACCTCAGCAGGAGTGGGCAGTGCTTGACCTGATAGAATCATGCCCATTCTGGTGGTGGCGTTGGGGGATGCAATGCCAAACCTACGCACGGGGGTCAGCCCTGACAGGACGTGCTCTAACACAACCTTGCAGTTGTTAGGATGCAGAATCTCAGCCTCCACTTCAGACCTACTGAGCCCGCATTTTAACCAGAGCACAGTTGGTTCACGCGCATGTTCAAGCTTGAGAAGCCCCAGTCCAGGGTTCTTTATAGTGACTGTGTTCTCATGCAGGGGTGGCTGCCATAGATTCCCTCCTCCTTATGTGTACTCGCTTCCCCACACATCAAGAAATGGGGAATTTCCCTTCTCGTTTTCTCTGGGCTGTCACCCTGTGACTTGGATAGACCAATAGAAGGTGATGAAAATGGTGCTGCCTGTTCTGGGCCTGGCAGCGTCTGCTTCCTGTCTCGGAAGCCAGCTGTCAGATACAAAGTCAGCCGACCGACCCACCCTGCAGGCTCTGTGCTGTGATGAAACCCAAGCTAACTGCACAGAGACCAGAGGGAAAAGTGACGCCAGCAGAGGGAAGAGCAAACGCAAAAATCAAAACGCAAAGAAGACCCGGGAGGTGAATGCAGAGGGACAGGGAAGGCTGGGGGAGGGAGGATGAGGTCAGAGATAAAGTCACAGAAGTCAGCAGGGGCCAGAGCTGAAGTCCAGCTAGGCAGCCACTAGCCACCCATGCCTATGTAACCTAAGAGTCCACTAAAGTGGAAAATGCTGTTCCTCAGTCCCTTTAGCCTCATTTCGGGTGCTCAATGACCTCATGTGGCTAGTGGCTACTGTATTGGACAGCACAGATATAGAACATTCTCAGCATTGTAGAAAGTTCTATTGGCCAGAGCTGGCTACAGAACAAATCAGAAGTGAGCCGGGACCAGAGTTCAAGGTCAGACTGTGTGCTCTTGGGCTTGGTGTTCTGCTAAATCCTTTGAGGTTCCAGTTTTCCCCAGGGTTACATGAGCCTCTTCTAGTTCAACAGTGGTTCTAAATTACCCACAGCAAGATGCCAAGTCCGCAAACAGTTGAATTCGGGTCTCACCCGGAGAGCACAATCAAGGCCTCATCCACGGTAACTGGCAGCAAAGAGGTCTGTTTATCTGACTTCTTTGCAACCTCATTTAAACTGCCAATTTGGGGCTCCCTGATGTGAAAAAAGAACAGAGCGTGGCTACTATTTCAGGGCAACACGCAGAAGGGAAATTGCCACAATTAGCCAAAGCTGATTTCGATTAGCATATTTTCTTCTTCGGTGCATAACATCTGTGAGTGTGGAAACATCACCCTATCGTGTCCCGGCAGAGCGAGAGGCCCAGTCAGTGAGCTAGGTAGGTCCCCAGGGAGTCCCACATCAGCCAGGGCTGAGTCCAGGAGGGGCAGTTTGTCTTAGGGAAAGGATAAGAGAGGAAAATGCTTCCTACCCAAGTCAAGAGGCAGCAGAGGGAGACATACATTCCCCTGGGGTTGTCCAGATCTGCTCTGTCATTTAGTGTCTGTGACATCTCCACAAGTACCCTAACCTCGGGGCAGTTGCCTAACCGCCCTCATCTGAGAAATGAGAACGATGACACGCACCTGAGGGACTGAGGGGAGGAGCACATGAAATATCTCTGGGAACACACAGCATGCAGGAGGTGCTCGGTACATCTGCGGCTGAGTCACGCTCGGGACGGGAAAGAGCCAGGTGAGGAAGAGAGATGGCACAAGGCTGTCTGGTCAGCCCTCTGGCCTGACCTCTCCATTCCTTCGTTCAACACACTTTAACTCTGCAAACTGGCCCCATGGCCCTGGAAAACCCCCTTAACCAGCCTGGATTCCCGTTTCCTACCTGGTGCACGGCAGGTTGGCGCAACTGATCTCTACGTTTCCTTCCAGCTCTCCCCAGCTAACCTAAAGTCCAAATCCACCCTAGAAGGCCTGACCCATCTGGGTCCAAGCCTGAAGGGTGGGCAAGGTATTGAGACCCAGAAACCTACAATCTTGGATTTGGAAACACCCTTTAAAGATCTTTCAGTCCAGCTCTCTCCTGATCACAAGAGCCCTGTCCCCAGTTGTGCTGACGGAAGGCCCCTGGCTGGCCCGTGCATTCTCACTGCCTTGCAAAGCTGCCCATTCTGTGTTCAGAGCGCTCTAATGCTGGGGACAGTTGATGTGAATATACATTTCAAGTTAATGTCTCTCTCGGAATGTGGCACCCAGCACAGAACATGGTCCTCAGTTTCTGTATCTGTCAAATGAGCTCTAGAATGCCTGCCTCACAGAGGTCGGAATTCAGAGCAATTCCGCAGGTGGCCGTACACGGGAGGTGTGTGGCATTTGCTCTCTCCTAGCCAAAGACAGGTCCAGGACCACAGGCCCCTCCCGAGCTGGCCCCTGTACTGTTTTTTCTCTTTTTCAGTGGGGCCTAAGATGGGACTAGGATGCTCTCAGCATGTTTGGCGAACTGTTGGTGTCGTGGGCTCGCATGTGCGAAGTAGAGGTCATCGACTTTAGGCCATCACATATAAGACAAAGGAAGGACGTCAGAGCCTGAGGGTAAAGGCTGACCCCCACCTCTGACCCCCACCTCCCTTTCTGCCTTGCACAGTCAGGTCAAGCCAGGAGCCCTCTCGAAATTGTGGGGTCCCTGTAGAAACCACTCCTGCAGGCGAGGAGTGTGCTGCTGCGTAGACCTGCTGGCACTCGCAGATGGCCAATGGCCCAGCTGGACACATGGAGCCGACGGACAGATAGACTATGGGAAAACATGAAGAAGTCACGGGGGGGGGGGGGTGTTGGCTCCACCTCCTTGTGCCCTGAGCTGGTCCCCCTGTTTGTTGTAGAAGGTCCCTGGGCCTCAACCACCCTTAACCTACTGCTGGTGGCCCACCTGGGAGAAGCCAGCATCCTCTCAGCGAGACGGCTTTGGTCTCTGCCCCCATCTCCACCACCTCTTCAACTTTGCTTACTTTCCCGTTGTTCTAATCCATCTACCCATTTCCTGTCACCATCCCAAAGCTCTCTTACTGTTCCCAAAGGGAAGAAAGAGATTTAGTACACCAGAGGGTCATGGGAAACTGGAGTTTAAAACAGGCAGAGTGTGTCTACAGCCATACCACCCCTGAGTGTGCCTCATCTTGGCTGATCTTGGAAGCTTAGCAGGGTCGGGCCTGGTCAGTACTTGGATGGGAGACTCCCTGGGAATATTGGGTACAGCGGGCTATAAAGATTTAAAAAAAATAAAACAGCCAGAGTGAGAGGGCAGTCTAGGGCCATCACACACATTTTGGAGGGGAGGGGACTTCAGTGTCCCTCCCAGCACTATGAAACTAACTCTGTTAGTGTGTTGTCAAGCTAACTGTTGTCAAGTGTGTTTTTTGGCCAATGGCTGCCTCTGACCTGGATCAGGCCTGGGAGTGATGCTCAGTGAATTTGCCATCCAAGAGCCCGGCCTCTTTGCCTCGCAGTGTCTATCAAGAACACAAGTGACCTTTGTCCAGGGAGCTGGCTCAGGCGGCGATGAGAGTACCAACTGCTGCGGATGGTTACCCGGCAGGAAGACGCTTGGAGGAAGCGGTACCTGCGTCAGGTGAGTCAGCTTTCCTGGGCTTATCGTGGCATACCCCTGGCCACCAGTTTGGCCCATCCAATCCTATGTAAGTTTGAGCCCCCGAAGTGCTCAGCCAGCCAGCTGTTGGTGCTTGGGGAGTTCTGAGTACTCACCATGGGCACCTGATAAGCCAGTGTGAGCAGGCGCCTGGTCTCAGTTGTCTGGATCTATCACTGCAGGCCAGCCTTAGGAGGTTAAGCTTATGTCCTGGGCCAAGGGACAAATCGGTCCCAAGATCCTGTATGGACCACATTGTGATGTCACACTACTGGGGTGGCCTCACAGGAAGGACTGCTGCTGTGGCTGCTGGCATCAGGGGACAGGTCAGGTCAGGAGCAACTGCCCCTCCAGAAGATCTGGGCGCCGTTCTCGGCTGGCACTGCTGGGGCAGCAGTGTAGGGTGTCTACTATGCAGAGAGCATTAGCCTGGGAGACAGTAGTTATAAAACTACCCGTTGCCACTTGCTGCTACTCTTCCTACCCCCACCAGCCTGGATCGACTCGATTAAACCAAGCCCATCTTGTATACAGTTTTCCTACACAAAGTGACTTATGAGGGTATCCCCAACTCTGCCCATTTTCTATGATTGATTTAAAATTCCAGGGAAGCTTTTCCCTCTACTGGTACACCCCTGACTGTCCCTACTGCCCACCTGGTGTGGCCTCAAGGCAAGCAAAATAATTTAAATATTGACTCAGAAAAACAAACAGAAACATAAATCTGCAGTCCCTTCCTCCTACACTCCCCTGCCCCCAGTTAAATCCAACACAGATGTCTTTTAGGTTATCTTCCATAGTATACATGCTGGGCTGCTTTCCATTGTTGGTAATTGATAATTAGGTATAATTTGTATTTAATAAGCCCATCAAGAAAAGAAAAACTCACAAGTGGGGGCAATGTATAAAACATTTCTGGAGGTTCCATCCCTCTTTTTCCTCTGGTGCTTAGAGACTGGGGGGTGGGAAGCATTCAAACCAAAGAGCAAAGGGCTCCACTTTGGAAACTGTTGGGGTGCCCCAAATTTTAGTCTAAAACCATGGGTCTCAAACTTTAGGGTGCACTAGAATCACCTGGAGGACTTGTTCAAGATACAGATTCCTGGGCCTGCCGCCCAGAGCTCCTGACTCAGTAGGGCTGGGGTAGGGCCCAAGAATCCAAGCTTCCAACCAGGTCCCAGGTGATGTTGAAACTTCTGGTTATGGGACCAAGCTTCAAGAACATGTAAGGATGCTGGTGTCCTGAGCTTGACCCTAAAATGGTACTACCAGCTGATGGCAGCATTCACGGGGTGCTGGAGAACAAACAGGAGCTGTAGCTTTGGGGCCAAAGCTGGCTGAGCTCTCTGGGTTCAACCTACTTGCTTTACTGAGGATCTGTTCATTGCCAAGACTGAGCCAGGTGTCGGGGAGGCACTGCTGACCCTGTCAGTGCCCTGCCCGTAGCCTCTTGGCCTTATAACTTCATTGTACAAAGTAGCCTGTCAACCGCCAGCACCTGCGTCTGTGGGCGTGGGGCTTTCTCTAGCTGGCGGAGCCCACCCTGCCTCCAAGCAGGGCAGCTGCAAGTGCCAGGAATTAATGCTTCCCAGGAATGTCCTTGACCAATGACTATTAGCAGTTGGTGGATAAATACCCTAGCTCCCTCCCTGCTCAGGTGGGATAACTTGGAGCTGTGCTCTGCACCATCTCCCAGAAGTCCCCACGGACCTGGCCTTAGGTGCCCACAGTGTGCCAATAACACACCCCCTATTGCTGCTCCCTCACCTGCCTCACCTCCCACTACCTGTGTGTTTGGGATCAATCCGCAAATAAACTACTTCCTCTCAAATCCTTGTCTCAAAATCTGTTTCTAGGGAAACCTAAACCAAGACACCATGAATAAGGAATGGTCTTTGTCCTTGATAAGTTCACATACAAAGGTGTGGGAAGACATAAACTGGCTTGGTACAATTTGGAATTCCTGGGAATCACTGGTGTCGGGTCTCAGGGCAGATGGAGGCGTTTGTTTTGCTGGTTGCCCTTTGCAGTACCACCAAGGACGCCTTGAGGAAGCACGTGAGCGGATGCACTGGGGGAAGGCCTGGTGACCCGGCCCGAGGCCTTTGCTTCCGCACAGGGGGGCCTGAGTGTGCTACCCCCAGGGGACTGATTTGCTACACAAATTCCTCCTGCTTTCCACCTCCCCAAACAATCCTGAAATAGGAATATGGAGCTTAAAGCTTGTGTCATATAAGATAAAGCTCTTGCTCACGCTCTTGGGGAGTGTCAGATGCTTGCAAAGGGCTTGCTAAGGGTCTCTGCAGGCCTGTTAGGACCAATGTGCTTTCCCAGGCGTGCGGCCCAGTGCCGTGTGATGGATGCCCAGCTTCACGCCTGCAGCGTGGCAGGATTAATCCACCTCTTCCATTGCCTTTGCTGTGCGCCTCAGTTCCCACCCCTGTCCTCCCACATTCTCCTCCCACTGCCATCATCGTCAGCCCTCCTAGAGTGCCCCCAAACACACATACAGTCCCCATGAAAACACTGCGCATGGTGAGAAAATATTCTTCAAGCCGGAGTTCCCAGCCCTCCAGCCAGGCGCTGCACGTACAGAAATTCTGGAATTGCCACTCAGCGGACCCGACTGCTGCTTTCCCGGTCACCCTCACAGATCATTCTTAGGGGACAAGGCACCCAGCTTCTCTTTCCCTACATTCCAGCTTGGGAAGAATGAAGCCTACGGTACAAGAGCATTGTTTCAATAATATTATTAACCTTCGCAGCATTACTCAGGACTCAAAAAAATCACTGGCTACAAACAGCCATTAGCTCTGCCTCTGGACAACAGGATCACGTCTGTGAAAAGGACCCAATTCAGAGACCTCAGGATGGAGCTAAGAGATGAAAAGGAAAGCTTGGTGGTGCTTTGGAAGACCCGTAGTCTCAACGTCCACTTCCTATTTTACACTCTCAAGGCCATAAAAATGCCTTTGACCTCATAGCTTCATTTTTGTGATTAATTAAATATTATATATATATGAGTATATAAAATCTAAAATGTGGGGGGAAATATATGCACTAAGATGTTAAGGTCAGTGCTGTTTAGAATTGTGGGAAATTAGAAGTAATTTCAATGTTTAATAGAGGAATGATTAAGTAAATTGCAGAGAATTCTTTTGTTGGAATATTAGGAGTCATTAATATAATGGTTATGAAGACTATGGGGTAACATAGAAGAATGTTAATGTTAAGCATAGATTTAAAGAGCCGAGAATACAAAGCATGACAACTATGAAAACATTTCCCTGTGGAAAAATGCTCAACATCATTAGTGATCAGGGAAATGCAAATTAAAACCTATACATCATCACCAAAATGGCTGACATTAAAAAGAACAGCAAATATTCTTCAAGTCAGAGCAAAGATGTGGAGCAACTGGAACTCTCACGTAATATAAAATGGTGCAATTACTTTGGAAAATTGTCTAGTAGTTTCCTATTAAAGTTCAACATAAAGACCCAGCACTCCACACAAGAGAAAGGAAAACATGCCCATAACAAGACTTGTACAAGAACTTACATAGCTGCTTTTTCTTCATCATAGGCCCAAACCAGAAACAACTCAAATGTCCATTAACAGGTGAATAAATTCTTGAATATTCTTATAATGGAATATTAATCAGCAATAAAAAGAAACAAACTATTGACACATATATGATAATATGATAAACCTCAAAAACATTACGTTGGCCAGGCGTGGTGGCTCACACCTGTAATCCTAGCACTTTGGGAGACCAAGGCAGAAGGATTGTTTGAGGCCAGGAGTTCAAGATCAGCCTGAGCTAGAGCGAGACCTCGTCTCTACAAAAAATAGAAAAATTAGCTGGGTGTGATGGTGGCACATGCCTGTAGTCCCAGCTACTCAGGAGGCTGAGGCAGGAGGATCACTTGAGCCCAGGGGTTTGTAGCCTGGGTGACAGAGTGAGATTCTGTAATTACGCTGAGCAACAGAGGCCAGAGATGATAAAGTACACACATGATTCCATTTATATGAAGTTCTGGAACAGGCAAAACTGATCTGAGGCTACAGAAATAAGTCCAGTGGTTGCCTGGAGCTGGGTTTGGGGGAACAGGTTAAAAGGGCCCAGAGTGACTTTGTGGGGTGAAGGAAATACTCTAGGTCTCTAGCATGGTGGCAGTTACTCAGGTGTATGCATTTGTCAAAATGCGTCAACTTGTACACTTAAATGTGTGAATTTTAAAGCATGTAAATTATATCTCAATAGAGCTGATTATATACACATATATTTATATGTGGTGTGCATATATATGATATATAATATTAATATACATACACACATATATATACACACACACATTGCTTGTCTAGGGGAAAAAGCTATAAGGAAATACACTTAAATGAAAAAAAGTGGTTGCGTTTCATACATGAGACTATAGAAGATTTTTTTTCTCTTCCTAGATTCACCAAAATTTCACCTATGTGATTCTATTTTTTGTATAACAGAATGACAAATGTTCTTTTCTAAAAATTACAAGCTGCTGAAAGCAAGCACTTTATAGTGGTCTACAATATACTAGATTTTAACACGTTTGTGTGATGAAGTCTATGGATTTTTTTCCCTGTATGTCCACCAACTGAGGTTTTCAAGCCAGGCTCAAATCTCTTGTCTCTTACTAAGTCAACCATAATGTCCTTACCAGAAACAAATGCAGTCTTATATATCCACCATCTTTTCAGACATTGTTTCTCTTTAACCACATCATGTGCTCATCGAGGGCTGGGATAATATCTTTATTCTTTGTATTCCTGATAGCGCCAAGCACAGAAAAAGCACAGAAATTAGGAGAAAATGGATCTGAGCTGGCACAAAGCCACTATGCACAGTGGCACAGGGTGTTCACCGCACAAACTCCAAACAGTGATACAAATGGCTCCCCTGCTCTGTGGATGGTGCCTTCTGGAGTTGTGCAGAGTCCTTGGTCAAAGTTCCTGTTCCAACACTTCCTAGTTTTGTGACCTTTAGGAAGTTATCTCCTGAGCCTCAGTTTCCTTATCTATGTAATAGGGTTGTTGGCATGATTAAAATGAGATGATGTGTGTTCAAAGCCCTCTGCAAGCTATAAAGCACTCTACCACGTTAGATGTAATGTTTCACATGATGAATCTAGCCCCTGCCTTCCTTTCTGACCTCTTCACCCCTTGTTCATTACTCCTACTTCCTCACCAGCTTCCCTCAGTTTCCTGATATCATCAAACAAGTTCCTGCCTCAGGGCCTTTGCACATGCTGTTCCCTCTACCTAGAAGACTTTTGTTCCTGCATCTTCCCACAGCTGGTTCCTTCTGCTGATTCTGATTTCATCTCCAATATCACTTGAGGCTTTACCTAAGCACCTAAAATAGCCTCCTCTTCGCTATCACTTTCCATCCCTCACTCTGTTTTATTAGCACTACCTCAAATTATCTTGCTGGTTTAATGCTGATATTCCACCCCCATCCCAAATCTCCTTGTGCACAGATTTATGTCTGTTTTCTCCACTGCTGTATCTTCAGCCCCTGGTAGGTGCTCAAAAGTCATTTACTGAATGAATGAACAAATACTTATTGACAACTAGGCCTCACGTTGTATGTATTGAGTTCAGCCCACCAACTATTTTGCAAAAATGAGAGACCGTAAAGCAAACGCTACTTGTTGTCACCCTGGTGGCTGCAGGAATCTGCCCAAGATGTGCCTGGCGGCCACAGGTCTAAACACTTGCCACTGCCAGTCAGGCTCCAAGTCAGCCATTGTGTTGTGAGGATGCGGGAAATAGGGAGGCATCGTGCTGCCCGCAAAGAAGGATGCGTCCAGAACACCTCAGAAGAGTTTTCCGCCTACTGGACACACCTCTCCTAGCCAGGTGCTTCGTTCCTTTCCCATTTACCCCTGTGTTTTCCTACTGTGAGCAAGGAAATCAGACCAATCTGCCTACATTTGTTCCTTGTAGCTTTCAGCGTGGGGCTTCTTTAAAGTTCTGGTGCTGGTGTAAACCCTGCCAATGCCACAGTGGAATTTTCTAACCCATGCCAAAGATGGAGCTCATTAATTTCCGTGCCTGAAAGAAAGAAAACACTTCTTTAGGAATTGGCGTGTTTAGCGCTCTGCTGAAGGAGGGTGAAGCCTCCCTGTACGGAAGATTAATCTAGCTTTGCATTTGTAGGTGGGTCACTCAGGGAGACACCAGCACACTGCAGAGTGCATTGCCTATCTCCATGGCCGCCTACTGCCCGTGGGTGACTTGGGCAGAGGCAGGAAAGTACCCTCTTCCTCCCCAAGGTGCCCACCCAGTACATTTCCAGAAAGTTCTTCTGCCCTGTCTCTTTCCTCCTCTTCTGAAATGTCCATGGCTCCTGGAGGGGGTCATACCCAAGTGTGGCTTTTCAAGCTGGGAAACAGGCTGGGTCAATTCCCCACTGCCTGGATCTGATGCTACCAGGTAAATAGCTGGAATCTTTTTACACAGTGGCAGGCAAGCAATTTAAAACATTCTCTTATACTAAAACAAACACTGTATCTTTATAAATAGAAACTAATGTAGTAGGGAAAAAATTTTTAAATGTCACATCAGGGGGTTGGAACTTCAAGTGATTTTTTTACATTTTTCTTGATACCTTCTCTGTATTAGCTGCATTATGTATTCATATGTATTACTGTTATGTCATAAAGATAACAATGAAACTATCTCCATTTTGAGAAAACCTGCTTATGTGCATGTATTTTGGAGAAGAATACAAAAATCACATGGGTGTTTAACATAAACCTCCATGTCTTTCTTGGAGGACACACCCCTCTTTCACATCTATCTTCACTCTTCCCTGCCATTGGAAGCAGTTTGGTAAAAGTGTTTGAGAGGCATAGCATGGTAAGTCAGTAAAACTTTAGTGTGAATTAGTCTGAGGTCATCTCTCTCATACATACACTGCCCCCACCAGATGGCACGCAGAACTCCATGAAAATCTATAGACTCACAATAGAATTACACTGGAAGGAAAAATGAACATTGCCTAAATTAAACCAGCTAACCAAATTCTGCCCAGGCCGAGAGTTTTCTGACCACACTGACCATCAGAACAGTACCTATGGGGCTGCAGGCTGTTCTCACTCCTCCAAATCTAATTTTTCTGCAGTGCCCATTCAGATCAGAGGCTGGGACGGCTGTGCTGAGCTGAGACAGTCTGCTTGATCTATTAGCTGGCTGAAGGGTCTGGTCTGCTAGACCAAAAGCAGAAAGCTGAGCTCAATCGCCCTAGTGAGCCCTTTCTGAATTTTGTTTTACTTTCCTTTTTTTTCCTTCTGGTTTAAGGACCTTCTTCAAAACTCTCACTCATGATTTCAAAATAAAGAAAAAAAAAAGCTGATTAACAGAATTTGATAAGAGCCACATGATGATTAAGTGGTTGGGGAAGAAAGGTTTAAGGAGCTGCAGTTTTTAAAGTCTGGAGGCAAGAACCTGAAGGAAGGAATCCAATAATGATGTTTAAGTACCAGGCACTCACTAATCAACTGACACGCACTCTGTGAGCACTTAGCAGGGCCCTAGCATCGAGCCTTAGCTCTGCCCTAAAGCCATGAAGACTTTAACAAATAAGTACACAGAAGAGAAGTGATTTAAGATAGACAGAAGAAAGGACTTCCTGAAGCTAAAAGCAGCTCATTGCAGAAATGAAATCACAGGGAATTTAGAAGGAAAAAAATATGATTCGGGCCTTTATAAGCTTTTATAGTTATTGAAGATCCATGATTTGTGTATACAGAATCTACTGGTGAATTTTGGTGCCCAGTTGTGTCCAGGTGGCCTCCAACGGGAGCTGGTGGGGCAGGGGACAAGCGGGGACTATGTATCCACAGGTTCTGTGAGGTAGCAGTTCTATGGGCTTTTCAAGGGCAGAGAATGACCAAGTTCAATCCAACTTTGCATGCACTCCCACCCCATTGATGAGAC